GAAATCCCACCACTAAAGAGCCGAGCAGGGAGCGGGGTAGGGGCGGGTCCGGGCGTAATAAAGCACGGGGGCGGGGGGCGAGGGCTGCATTGTGGGGCGCCCACGCGCCGCCTCGGCTTCCGATGCTCATTCGGACTGGCTGGCGCTGCCTTCGTTTCGAGGACGTCATTCGAATCCTGCAAAAGATACCAGGAGCGGAAATATATCTTTGTCAATAAAGATGTAGGCTTTTCTATTAAAGAAATCTTGGCAGGCAGAGAAAAGCCTCCTCCTAGGTTCCCGGAGTGTCTGTTGGCTTATTATGATACAATCATTTAATGAGGCATGGAAACTCACATCTTTGCTACTTTTTGTTCATTCGGATCTTTTAAATTCTAATTAAATTATTTTTTTTAAATGCTTTTATACTGAATGACAGATATCTACGATTTACATTTTTTACCTTGATGCACATGACGTAGCTTCACTTATTTTTACTTTTAAGAATATTAACGATCTGTTATATTGCTTAGATGTAGTTCCAAAATTTCATAGGTTTTGTTGAACATAATAACGCCTTTAGCAAGTTTTTTTAAATAGATGTCTAAATTGGTAAAAAAAAGTTCAAAAAATTTCGGAACATTTTATAATTCAGTTTCGAGAAGGTTTGGATTTCTTCCACTTCCAATTTCAACTCTGCGCGTTTAAGCTTGTAATATTTGAAATCTATTCATCTCTGGGGATCTATTGTTATCAACATTGACGCCTTTTTCTTTACCTACAGAAATAGGAGCTATCTGATGTCTGAAAGATGAATAAACTCAAGTCGACATTATATTTGATTCTAAAATTCTGTAGTTATAATGAATTTCATAATTATGTCTGGCAAGTGATTGAATTCTTTCTACTAAGTATCAGTTCAATATTCTTCTCTAAAGAGAAGAACTACAACATTATGTAACACATTAATTCGATTTTTAATGTCATGTCTACAGTAATTCATCAAAAATCTTTTTTGAGCGATCTGGGTGTAGCACAATAGCTTGCAAGGGTGTTGTTTTCTGTGTTGTAATGAAATATATCAGAAATTCAAAATTTAGTAAATAATGAAATGGCATATTTTTTTAATTTTGCAACAAATTTTAAGCTGTTAGATATAGCAAAATATTAAATAAACACCTTCTCAATTGATTTTTATATTCCACAATAAAAAATAGAAAATTAATACAATCAGTTAAGTCTCTTGAAAAAGAAACAGCAATACACTTCAATATGAACATAGTAGAAGGAAATTTGTTTATTGAACACTTAATATCTTTCAAACAATCCTCTTAATATTCAGTAATTCTTTATATTTATTTAAGTATTTATTGATTTAATTATCTAGTCATTTGTTTCTCTTTTGTATAATCCAAAATTCGCGTGTTAAATAATGGAATATTCACAGATTAGAATATATTTAATCCGCCGTTTCTTTCCAAAACAAAGCTGAATGAATAGCTCAGGAGGCCGTGAATCGCAGCTCACACCTGATTATGCATGTTCCATGGCGTAAAATGGGCGCCGCCGCTGCTTACGCGGCGGGTCGCGGAAGCAGTGCGAAGGGGCGCGGCCGGGAGCCTCCGCGCGCCGCCCGACTGAGCAGCGCCTCGCGCCCCGCGGAATATGCATGAGGCTCGCCGCCCTCGTTACGCCGCCTCTTCGCGGAACGCTTCGCGAGGACGCGCGAGGGCGAGGGCGAGGATGGCGCGCCGGCGACTTCCAGCGTGCGCCTCCTCGTTGCGTCGCCGCGCCTCTCGCCGCTCCCGACTCCTCGCGGTCCTCCGAGCACCCTTTCGTTTCACCTCTCCACCACACGCGGAGGCGGGGGTTTTATTTCGGGCAACGGAATATGTTATATTCCTTTTGGGATCCACAACCGTAACAGACTTGCGGTTTAAGTAAATGGAGGGAGGGCGTTCACTTAAGATACTCACTGAAGCTAACCTAATGCTAGCTAAATTTGAATGGTGCAAATCTAGCGATACTCTCTTTGGTATATCTACTTTGACTTAAATATTTAAATTGATCGAATCTTTTGGACATTTTGTATGTTTATTGCTTCACGTCTCTTTTCATTATTCATGTTTTACCTCAATTCTCACAACATTCACAGGAAGTATTTTACTTACATTATAAACATAACCATTCACTCACCTCAGTCACTCTCACTTACCCAGGCGCATTCCCGTTGCCATGCACACGCCCTCCCATTTTGCTCTCACTCGTATGTTTGATAGAGGTAGTTAGATGGTTAGATGTTGACAGCATGATCGGATTTCATTCTGGTTCGGATTGATTTATGACGGGTGGAATGTGGTTCAGATTCCATTACTTGCTTGAAGATTCTCTTTTGAATTACGTTACTTAAGTCTTAGGAATAGCAACACTGATACTCGGTACAAGAAGAAGAAAGGATGATTCTAAACATGTCAATTCTATTAATTTTCTGATATCTTCCAGAGGCTATGTGATAATTAGTCAAACAACTTCAAATATATAAAAGTTATTAATTATGAGAACGCCCATAGACACAATAAAGGGCTCAATTATTAGCGTGACCACTAAGGTCTTGAAACACATTAATACTGCCATTGCTCACGAAGTAGTCTACTCTTATCTTTTATTTCCATATTTTACAAATGACGACTTGACAGTGAGCCAGAAATTTACCTTTGCACGCCACGTAAGAATTTCAAAAGTTGAATGACTATCGACCAGTAACTGCCACCTTTTGTATATGTTCTCTCTGCAGCCATTCCGCTTTCCCAAGCCGCCTTCCGCCGTTTCGCACCTTTCGGCGAGGGCTGTCTCGCGCTGCCCTAGTTATGCAACCTCCCCGCCCCCGTTCGCCTCTTGCCGTTCTCTCCCGCTGCGGCAGCGCTCACGCCACCCTCGCTGCCTCCCACGCCCGCTATCCCCGCCCCCGCCCCCGACTCCAGCCCGGCGCCGCTCCCAATCTCCCCCGCGCCACGTAAATGGCGCGCTTTAAGAAGATACGGATAATCGCATGTGGACACGGCGCCGTTAAAGATTTTTCCAGGAATTTTCAACAAAGCCGCGTTTGACGACGCCATTAAACCGCTCGTGCGATCGTTGCATCGCATTGCGTGATAGGCGCTCGCGCCGCGAAACGCGCCGTTCCGGCCCCCCCCCTCGCCCTCCGTCACCCGCGCGCCCGCGCCCCCCTCGCCCGCGCCTCGCGCCCCGCTGCCTCGCTCTGCGGCTTCCCTCGCCCCGTGTGTACTTCGTGAGCTTATAACTCCCTAGACTAACGTCTCCACGCGTGGTGACAGGCAGCTTTCTGTCTAGCCTTACCAACAACCCCCCTGTGTCATAATTGGGCTGTTTCGCACAAATTTAACCACCTCCTGGTGACAATTTGTTAGCCCCGTAATAATTGCAAACCGTTACCATTCGCACCTTCACTGAATTTCACTGGATTCGTTGCCATAAATGTAATTCAATGCGACTTCTATGTTGATTACGTTTCTTTGCGGTAGTGAATTGAAAGAAAGAAAGCTATACAACCTCCGGCCATATGAGTGGCGCGTTAAATACCCAAGGACTCGGGGGGAGGAATCCAAAACCAATGAAATAGTTGCGTTTTTGAATAAAAAAGTGCAAATATTTGATGGTGGTGTTCCGCAAACTCTCATACTTCGCATAAGGATTCAATTCACATTTTCAGGCCGACACTGCTTACGTCACAGCTGAAGTCTTACACCAAAAAGGTCTAAGGAAGAGCATTTTTAAACAGAATTTTGATATTCTTGCTATCGGGAAAACTGTTATAGTGTATACTATTCACCGTTATTGCAGTATTCATGAAGACCTTTTGATAAAAAAAAAAACAATTTAATTTAATGTACGGTTGTATGAGAGTATTTTATTTGTTATTCTTGAGCAGTGTGCATACTGATTTTTGGCAAACTATTTCGTTTAGTCCCGTTTAGCAGAACTTTTGCTGCAATGGTTTGCAAATTTTATTCTATATTTGCCCTCATTTTCTCCATGACGTACATAATACAATTACCTTCTTCGTTATTTTCCTCCTTTACTGTCGTCTTAGCTGCCCGAACAGATTAAAATTTCCATACCTTATATTCGTTATTATGTTCCCTACTGTGTCTCTGCAATTTCGCTCCATCTCACCCACACGTCCGAACATAACTTACACCCATAATTTCTCCATCTTTCTCGCCTCGCGATTTCTATCTTCACCTGATCGCATCATAAATGCATTCATGGCCGACTTTTCCCTGAACCTTGGCGCATAAACTGAATACCTTTTATTTCCAACGCCGCCACTCACAGTTATCTCCATCGTTCGTGTTATTTCCTCCTCCATTTCCTCCACGCCCCTGACCTCCTCTTCTGCCACGCTGGTCACTTGCACAATGACAGCCGCTGCGTCTGCGACCAGGAACCTTTCGCTCCGAAGAATTACCCCGCGCGAAAGAAGTATTTTGACAAAATACTCAAGTAATAGAAATAGTTATTCAAGATTATCGAGACTAGCTCAACCATAATTGTATTTCTTCATAAAATACGAGGTAAATTTTGGAAAGGCTGATTGTTGTATGTTAATCACGAAGGCGAGATGTTGAAGCCTCATCGTTGTCTTGAAAATGCGCGAGTAAAACTGATTTATATGGCCGTATTCAACTGGCGATTTTGGAGACAAGGTAACTTATCAAACTTAAAGTAATCGACAATTTAATATGGGAAATACGCATGTATTGTTATGTATTGGATGATTATTTTCAGTTTGATAATATTGTATACAAACGTTAATTGTATGTTTATAAATCTAACTTCGGCAACTAGGCGCAATTTTTTAATCGCCTTTAAGTGCACAATGATTCGCAAAGGAATTCCGTTTCCCCACGTGCTTCGGCTGTTTGTCGCAAAGCGCCTGCCCCCGCCGCTTCGCAGAGCACCCGCTGACCGAGGCCGCTCGGCGCTTCGCTTGCTCGCAGGGCCGTCATGAAGGAGAAGAGCAAGAACGCGGCCCGCAGCCGGCGCGAGAAGGAGAATGCCGAGTTCCTGGAGCTGGCCAAGCTGCTGCCCCTGCCATCCGCCATCACCAGCCAGCTGGACAAGGCGTCCATCATCCGCCTCACCACCTCCTACCTCAAGATGCGCCACGTGTTCCCCGACGGTGAGTACCACTGGGAGGAGGAGGCAATTCGCGGTTCCCAACGCACGCGTTGCTCAAATAAAGTGCGATGCTTTTGGCTACGGACTAGCTTGTGAGGGAATTTTTTTAATAAAATGTTTTATACACCTCAGAACATCAAAATTTCACTCTTTACATTTAAAAAATTCCAACGATCAGTACATTACTGCTTGGAAGTGTTTTGCCCATCTCTACTCGTAAAGTTTACAATTTCACTTATTGAATACTGTTAATTTCAAATATAAGACAATAAAATCTAAAGAATTATCAAAGGACTTTGTATTATGTATTAAAAATTAAGTTACATTACTATTACACTGATTATACCTTTGATTTAATTACAATTATTACTTTGCTTGTTTAAATAAATCAAGAGCACTTTTCCAATTTACAAACTAAAGTCTGCAAATCACAGATTGAGAAATTGTATACATTGTACTGTGTATATTTCATTAGAATACTCAGTGTTAAGAACTATTCTGAAAAAGATTTAATTTTGTATTTGACTCACAACAGTAAACAATTAAATATATTCGAGACATTAACGTTTGGTAGATATAATGAAGTATAACGCTCGTTTTCAAACATTAGAAAGTAATGAGTAGTTTTTGAAGAATTAACATGAAAATTCGTTTGAAAATATTTATTTCCTGCAAAAGAACACAGTGAATTGGAATATAATATTGTTTTCTGTTAGAGAAACAAATGTTTTTAAAGAACTTTTCGAAGTCGACCTTTGAGTTGACCCAGTTTCTTCCCGTCCCGAAATACGAGTATATACTCTGTTTCTGGTGAAGTCATAAAACTGCATTTTGTCGTAGCTTAAATATCGAAGTGACCTTAATATATCTTAAAATGTTAAAATGAATGTCATAACGCCTTACAAGCGGAATTCAATATGTTCGACAATCAAGATAATTTTTAAATAATGTCCATGTCTAGAAATGCGAGCAGAAAATAACCGGGGCACATTCCCCTTTTTCGTTACGGTTATTGACATGCACAATGAAATTGACAACATTCGTTACACTTTAATAAGTGACTGGTGTTCTTGTTTCCTATACTCGTAACCTAATAGCCAATTGTTCTTTCAATGCGCGCTTGAGGAACTTGGCTCACATTACAGTAAGCATTAGCATCGGCTGATTCAGTTTTGTTATTATAATTCCTTGGCTGCCCACATTGCAATAACACTCCGACTCCCAACATTACGAGGACACATTCTCTCAAGTGCTTATGTTGTGCAGTCAAAGAAGTGTTTCGAAAAGATTCTTATTGTATGTGCTAAATATCTTAAAATACTTCTACATGCAGTACTTTTTCAATACGAAATCTTACACAATGTACATCGAATGCTTTTGAATACTTCGGATAGTACAGTAACTATGTACTGCAAAAGTCCTGAAATCAGAGCAAGGTAACACCCCTTCAAAATGAGAGAAAGTTATAGAATCACGAAACGGCGTTATTTGTGGAATAAAGTTTATTATCACAATAATTAAATCTACAAATCTTTGCTGTAAAACTGAAAGATTGGAAGAATGTTATGGCAATTAATGATCGTAAAATTACTACATTTTTAAAATCGTGAATTAATACGCAAATATACGATGCCACGGTACGACGGAAGAGATAAATTAAGCTGGAGATCCCCGAAGCTCCTCTGTGGCAGAGCGAGGGGCGGACCGTGCGTAACTAATGCCCCGGGTCGCCGCCCTCACCGCCACCGCCATCACCTCC